ATTCACACACCATATCTACAGCAATTTTATTACTTTCCATACTCAAGGCATTGGCAACTTCTTTGAATTTCACTTGCTTATAGAATTCATCCTCCAGCTGTTGTATCCTATGGTGAAAAATCAACAGCAGTGTTAGTAGTTGTTAATTTGACAGTGAGACTGTGAATTGATTGGATAACAAAAATTACTAGGATCAAAATAAGTCGTGTTCAAGTAATTAATGAATGAATGTTTTGGCTAATGTGCACTTCTAATAAATCAAATACAGTAAGTGTATACAAGACATTCTAATTCTTTCTATCAATATAGTAAACAATATTCAATGAAATGCAAAACCATACATATCACAGTGGTGTTTTTTTGTTAATTAGTTTAAGGATGAGGGTACAAGGGTGTTGGAAAAAACCAAATGCTAATTAATTAACACAATGCCAGAGTAGGATGTCTTTTAGTTTCTACATTATACATAACATGCTGGTAACTATCTTTAAACAAATCCTTTAATAATAATTGCTGACATTTCAAAATCTAACCAAATCCGTTAACGGGCGGTGGTCATTGCATACACTATGTATACCAATTACTGCTGGTGACTCTTTTGATACCTTGAGATCATCAAAAAAATTTCAGCTCAGAAACACCTTAGTTTGTACTCGTTGGTCAAAGTCGCCATCTTTGTTCATATGAGACCCATATCTCGCACATACATGGTGCGACGACCACTGCCTTTTAATATTGCCAGACAATCCAAGATCATTTAGGGGTTTTTCTAGAAAAAAATGAACAAGAGGGGGCACATACAGGCAAGGGAGCGAAGCGAGAGTAGCTAGAACAGAAATAACATGGCAAATTAACCTGGAAACGTCATATCGGAAGATTTCTGCACCGTATTAACAGAGTATCTATCGACATTGAAATATTTTTGGAGTAATTTTAGTGTATTTAGTGTCCAGACACATTGTCAGCTGGTGTTGATTTCATGGAGAAAAATATATTTGAGAAAGATTTCATGTTGTATAGCATCACAGAAGTGATATTTAGGACTTGAAAATTCAATCAACAATTCGATAAGAGAGTGCCAGCCGAGAGTATCAGGGTGCTGCGCCTCTGTTCCCCGGTTTAGAAAAAAAACCTGTCATTGCAGACAACACAGCAGTTATGATTGCTCAGGGTTAAAAAGAAAAATTGCAATGCAGTGCCGGCTACACTACAAGAGACATCGCACAACAAGCCGGACATCTTTTGATCTCATTTACATATCTCAGTAACTCATTTACATAAAAGCATACCAGAATGACTATTAATCTGGACTATACCTAAGTGCTCTTTCATTTGCTTCTTGTTCCTGTGTCTTTTCTTTTTTTGGAGTTGATTTTATTGGTGAATCAGTAACATCTAGTTCACCCTGCAGTCTTCGTTTAGTATGCCGCATACAGAATGACTAATTACATGAAACAGATAATTACAATGCAGTTACTAGTTTGTTTTACCCAAAGTAGCCTTGTGAGACTAAGTAAAATTTTATTTGCATTTCATAACAAACCAACAAACTTAGTTTTTTGTAAGTTATTATAACTATTGACTCAACAAGTGCAACACTTCAAGTTGTTCACCTGTGAAACACAGCATGACCGGATTTCCCTGTCAGCAATCTGATCATTTGCTACTAAGCAATGCATTCGTATTTGTTTTTATTTGAAACTTCTTTAAACTATTTTTTTTTACCAACAAAGAAGTATTTGGGGGGGGGGGGGACTAAGCGAATTCAGCTGTCACAAGTGATCTCAGGTAAGCAGTTGACCGTTTCATTACTTATATACCATCCAGCATCATCTAAACGCTATGGGAATTAAATACCTTGAATTTGACATCAGAACAGTCATCCAAGTAGGTTTTCATTTCTAGATTGTGTTGAAAGCCACATGTCACATGGTACGCCGTCTTGCACGTCTTCACCTACAGAAACAAGTGACAAAAGTGAATAAACATACCGCACTTCCCTGATCATAAGCCCAGGGGCTGGACCATGAAAAATCTGAAAAAAGTAAGGGGTGGGCTTATACTCGAAGACCACCTCAAAAAAGATGATTTTTTGGGGGGGTTTAACATTGTAACCATCTTACCACCCACAACATTTTTTAATTACATTTTTCATTCACCACACCAGGCTCAGGGAAACATTACGTCTATAAAATGCGAAACAAATCATCACTTTCATACAGTCTGATTTTTGGTGTCTGTAGGGAAACAGTCGAAAGCAAGATCTTTATCTTCGTTGTAGGGTGTTTTTGATCGTACACAATCTCTCGATGAAAAACATTTTCTGCCATGATGCTTCTTAGCACGATTTGACATGAAACAACGTCCTTTGACCTAACAGGTCATGTCTTTTATTACCCAATCTAAATGAAGAAATTTCCCGATTATTGAAGATGTAATGCAGAAGTGAATTACGGCAATGTTAAAATGCAATCTGTAGCACTGATTTTGACGAAAAAACTTTATCCTTTAAAACTGGTAATTCACAATTTTCTTAAAGTAAACTGAGTGTGGAGGAAATATTTAAACACCTTTAACGGTCGCCAACAGGTCACATCGAAAAAATAGTTTACACCTCATGATGATAGTCTCAATGGACATGATTAAGTAAAAAGATGTCCAATGACCAGGTTTCACGACTTAAGGTAGAGATGCAGTTTATTTGGCTTGCTTTTTAATTGAGTAATTAGACAATGAAGATGGTATTATATATCCAACATGTTATACATTTTCTGAAAGCTTATTATACAAACTTTGTAAAAACTTGTCTTTATTTTAAATATCCAGAATGCGTTTTTGATTTTGGATCAAAAATATGCTTTTTTGGGCAAAAGTGATTTAAAAAAAATTAGCTTAAAAACTTTAAGTCCGTTTATGGGTAAAATTACATCACTGGATACCTTGGTATACTACTAATTCAAATGCCTCCACACATCTCTCTAACGGCTTTCAAAGTCGTACAGCATGACCTCAAAGTTCGCTCTTTTCTATTTTTGCATAATTTATATATCTATATTAATTGCGGACTTGTTATTTATGTTCTACTCGCTGTAATAAACTGTTCGGACGCATTTTGAAGGGGGAGCACCTTGTCAATAATGTGTGAAAATTTCAAGGCAAATGGCCAAAGTGTCTATCAGCTATTTTAATTTAAAACCCAAGAATTCACCAAAAATAGAAGACGAGAAAAAGGCTAATTTGCATATTTGCGCGTTAAACCGGGAATTACTGCTTTGTCATATTTCGTCAGACTTTCTAGACTATTGA